AAAAAAATAAATGAATGTTCCACAAAGGGAAACGTCAAGTTGGATGAACACTGCGAACAGCGAGAGAAAGAGAATGAGCGAACGTTCTATAGTTGCCATAAGTGCGAGCGCAGGTATATAAGGGCGCCGCCACAGCGAAGTGAGTTAGTTACAAGTCAGCAGGCTGCAAGTGAAGTGAGCAGAGCAGTGAGATGCGAATAAGCAAGCTATAAGTTTAATTGTGTTAACAAGTTTAGTAAAGCGTTGTTATTGCTTTAACAAGTATTGTAATGTATTTTTACTGTATTAGCGAATATTGTAAATTGTTTGTTGTACAATAAAGTTAATTGTACAAGAATTTCGTCATCGTTAGCATTTATTTAACAATCCAGCGATACGAACCGAGAGATTTGGGAAATCCGGACGAGGTTTCAAGGATAACCGTAACAATTGGTGTCGGAAGTGGGATTGTTAATAGAATTTTATGCCGAAGGTGTGTAGCACTGCCACTGAATTTCAAAATATGTAAATGTTTGAAGAAATTAAAAAAAAAGCACTTAGGAGGACAAAATCATAAGTAAACTGGTAAATGGGGTACAAAAAATGTAGGTACTTAGGCGGGTTGGGTACATAAGCGGGGAGCTACTTAAAAGAGGGATTTTCTTCAGAATACATTAAAAAATTTACGGTGCCCAATAATATTGGGAAGTAAAAAAGGAGGGGGATTGTACTTAAGCGCGTTTCACTGTAGTTCCATTTAATGACATCCGTTGTTGTTGTTAACCATTTGACTTTTAATAAAATTTCATCAAATTCATGCTACCTGATCACCAGAAGAAATATTTTTGATGTGTATACATCTTTCGTTTCGGTAGGGGTAAAATTTGCGAAGCTGTAACGCATGTCCCAGCACAAAATTTCGAAGGGCTTAGCATGTGTATTTCAGCATAAATTTTTTATTTTCATTAGAAGAACCCTGTGTTTGCTGGCTATTGTAAATGGTTGCATACATTTAGGCAGATGCATAGTGAGGGGAAGAAATGCACTACAATTGATTATTACTTCCGATTATGTAAACTCCGCACATGCATACGGCTTTGTACCTATGTATTTACATAAATATATATGGACTCATTTGTTGCAACTGGGAACGAATCACGTAACTTCGAAACGATAGTCGTTCAAAAGATATTGACAAAACGATGTTGTCAAAACACTGATCGATGCATTTGCGTTGCTGTTACGTGTTACTGTTACTGTTACGTGAAGCAAAACTGGAATCGAGTTGACGATATCGCACAAACGATCAAGCAAGACAATCTCGACACGATATCGTTCAGACGATTGTCGTCATACGTGATTTATGCCCTGGTTTTGATATTCGTAGATGGTTTTAGGCATCGATTTAGTAGTCTATTTTGATAAATAAAAAAAAAAATTTTATATACAACGCTTTTATAAATGGACTAAAAAGTAAAAAATAATATTTCTCAGTCCCACAGAATTTGTTTTGATAACTTTTGATTTTTGAAAACGAAAAACGTTGAGCGCATGCAGTACAAAGCATTCGATTTCATTGACAATAGTCAAACTACATAACATTCTACAGCGAAAGTACAAATTTGAGATCGATTTTAAGCGGTCGTTATTCATGTGCCCACATACATACACATGTTACTTTTCATATCAATTCAATTGTATTACATGCGCCCCACGCTTTTCATTTTCAATGTCAATAATTGTTTATAATGACTTTTGCTAAAATTTCAAAATCAAAAGTTATCAAAACAAATTCTGTGGGACTGAGAAATATTATTTTCTACTTTTTAGTCCATTTATAAAAGCGTTGTATATTAAAAAGATTTATTTTATTTTATTTATTTTATACTTTTTACACATTTAGTATAAACATACATATGTACATACATACATATAGCAGCAGTTTATTTCATTTAAAGGAATGGCGTGTCGTCCATTTCCGCTGTGACGTATATAAAAATTGCATCTATTTAGGCGCAATATTTAACTTCTTCTGGCGGGGCGACATCTAGAGTCTTCTAATTGTATCTCCTTGATATGATGCCTACAACGAGGTTGATATCTAGACTAAGTTGATACCTAGAATTTTCCATAAATAGCTTTGCTACATTTATAGTAGGTGCATTCTTTTGCAACCGAGCTACAAAAGAACGTTCGATTAAATTACGAAATACACGCAAAGCAACAACACAAACTCGGCTATTTACCCGAGCTCAGCCAAGTCGGTTAAAAAATACGCTTCCTGAAGGGTAGTGTTGGTAAGTGAAAAAACTGCTCTATTGTGAATTGTTAATGGGAAAGTGGAAAGGGAAATTTTTGCTTCCTTTTATACGTTACTTATATTTTAAAAGTGTATATATATTACACAAATACGTCGCATAATTACTCATTTAAATTGGTTTTTGTATCTGAATCCCGTTAACTCTCTAGTAGGCCAATTTTTGTATGAGTTGAAAAACTCAGGAATGGGTGATTTTAGCACGAGAAATCCAAAAATGGTGTCCATTTCGATCTTTGACAGTAACTTTTTTTTGCAGGGGAGAAAAACCAAGACCGTCTGGAGACGGGCTCGCCGATATACTTTGACGTATTTTCAGCTTTCTCTTACACAATGTTGACCTACGAACCGCCAATCCCGTCTGCAGACGGTCAAAAATGCAAACTGGGTTTTTATATGTCGGCATGCCGGTCTGTAGACGGTCTGTGTTCGAAAGCAATTTTCTCCATTTCGAATTGTGACATAATTATAAAGTTTATATCAAAATACTTTGCTTTTAACCCTCTAGTAGGCCAATTTTTTTATGAGTTGAAAAATTCAGGAATGGGTGATTTTAGCACGAGAAATCCCAAACTGATGTCCATTTCGATCTGTGACAGTAACTTTTTCCTACAGGGGAGAAAAAACCAAGACCGTCTGGAGACGGGCTCGCCGATATACTTACACATATTTTCAGCTTTCTCTTACACAATGTTGACCTACGAACCGGCAATGCCGTCCGCAGACGGTCAAAAATGCAAAACTGGGGTTTTATATGTCGGCAAGCCGGTCTGTAGACGGTCTGTGTTCGAAAGCAATTTTCTCCATTTCGAATGGTGACATAATTATAAAACTTATATTAAAATACGGTGCTTTTAACTACGAAATTCACCAAATTTTTTTATATCAAAAAATTTTTCAAAAGAAAAAATTTCTTTAATTACGAAATTACTAAATAGCAAGAAATAATTAATTTTAACCGTGTTCTCAAAATCTGTAATTCAACTGCCGATTAAAATAAAACGGATTGACATAACGGATTAAAATTTACTTCGCCGTAAGGGTACGATTTTTGTCTAAAGATCGTGCCTTACGAATATAGAAAAAAATTATTATAGGTGCACTAAAAAGGTATTTAGTTAACGACCGTCTGGAGGCGGTTCTGCCTACTAGAGGGTTAACTACGAAAACCCATTGAATTTTTTTGTATCAAAAAATGTTTCAAAAGAAAAAATTTCTTTAAATACGAAATTACTTAATAGCAAGAAATAATTAACTTTAACCGAGTCTTTCACAATCTGTGATTCAACTGCCGATTAAAATAAAACGGATTGACATAACGAATTAAAATTTACATCGTCGTAAAGGTACGCTTTTTTTAGAGATCGTGCTTTTCGAATATAGAAAAAAATTATTATTGGTGCACTAAATACGTGTTTAGTTAACGACCGTCTGGAGGCGGTTCAGCCTACTAGAGGGTTAAACTAATCACATTTTCTTGCCAGCTACCAACAGGGTTACTTAAGTAGCTAAAAGGAAATTTTACCTGAGTTTAGCGTTCTTTTGTCGCTCGCTTACAAAAAAATTCAGCTAGTATAAATGGTGGTCTGGACATACAACATTCAAAGCGGTCTGGACATACAACATTGTAGGGTTAATACTATTTACTATTGTACTCTGTTCATTTTTGTACTTTGTTATTTTTGAAATTATTGAATTAAGTTCTTTTTCAATTTATGTAAATCAAAAAGAAAATTTTTGTACTTCCGAATTTTTTCTTCTTTGAAACTTAAAATATATAAAATTAAAATTTTATTAAAACAAAATTCTTTTAAATAAACTACAATTGGCGATCCTGCCAGGAGATACATTGCCATCGTCTTGGTCAAGTTACATAAATTTTTCAGGCTTGAGCCATTATACGTTCACGCATATCTTTGCAAACCACAATTGTGCCTGTGTCGATTTGTTAACTTCGGGGAAGGCCTCCATGCCATGCAATTCTTCTGTATTTGCGAATTTCATGTGTATTAAATAGCATAAAAATATAACACTAAGAGCTGAAGTCACTTGGGCAAACGTGCATCCTTCCGCGGAGCTTTGGATAATAGCGGAACTACAACAGAGGTAGCTTCATCCAGTGTTCTGGTTCGCGACACATGCAGTATTCGCAAACGCAATTACTATCAGCATCAATTAAAATCAAACAGCATTAGCAGGAGAAATAACAATTAAAGTTCACCACTTAAGAAGCGCTGTTATCATTCTAACTTATCAGCGACTTCATCAACGTCAACTGGAATTCATTGTCATTTGTATCGGCGTCCAAAAGACACGCAAGTCGTAGTGGGCCCATCTTAAACAAGGTTAGAACTGATAAAAGTAGGGTGGCCAGATGCGCTGATTTA